TTCTTTACATTGTGGTAACCTTTTCATCCATACCCAAGTTAGATATTTCGTTTGTGATTACTAGTAAGAGTTGAAGTAAGTTTGTACTGATTACCCGTTTTGATAAAGATATCAAGTGAAGTGATATTAAGTAAAAAGTATCAAAATCTATTCTTGAAATTTAGTGTAGGTGAGTTCAACAAATACATTAACTTAGTTTCTTGTTTTTTCATAACTCAAGTAGGTCTAATGTTCGTGTAGAATTGTGGCTATGTTTTATTTTTTGTATACGTGGAAAGAAATGAAATAAGAATTGTTATAATGGACTTATATATACTGAGCAGCAAAACAAAAAAGGTAAATAATTTGAAATATTTTATGATTTATTAACTGTTCTGCCTTGTTTCGCAACAAGATTGTTAGTGATCTGCTAATCCGATGTAAGTAATAAGATTTTGATGCATAAAATTACAAGATAATGAATAATAAATAAATATTCCAGATATTACAAAAAACAACATAAACCTAATAAAAAAATAGAACACACCGAAAATTAAAGGTGTTAGAAAACGAGCTATAAAAACGAAGAAAATGTAGGATAGATTTGATTAAGAAGAAAATTCTGATGAAGTCATTTTTATCAGGCTAAGAGATGTTCATGAAATAGGAACTTAACTTGAAGAATAACTCAAAGAGGCATGTATTACACGATTACCATGATATAAAGATCAGATTGGAGTTATTGACGGCTTGTACTCGTAGAACCATAACATAAACACCCTGTCAGATCTATAATAAAAAGGATTTGAAACATAAGTGATCAGATTGGAGTTATTGACGGCTTGTATTCGTAGAACCATAACATAAACACCCTGTCAGATCTATAATAAAAAGGATTTGAAACACAAGTGATCAGATTGGAGTTATTGACGGCTTAAACTCGTGGCACCATAACACAAACACTTTGTCAGATCTGCAACAAAAGGAATTTCAAAACATATCACTTATATTTTCTGTGTTAAGCCACACGAATCGGGAAAACAAGAAAAGGGCTTACTTTTACCAAAATATTAACATATAACAAACAATGTCGCAAAAGGTATTAAATATTAAATAGTAAAACGTCTTAGAATAGCAGTTAAATTTAAATTAGGATTCAAGATTAACACTAAAAATAAACATATATTATTAAAATAATTTTCAGCCATTCCAAATGGTAAAGTTCAGAAATTTTGTCTTAAAGTTCAAGATATAAGACACATCCAGAAATTATAGACATTTTTAAGGGATTCCCGAAAATAAAAAGTATACGCCTTCCTAAGAATTGGAAAGTAAACAAAACTTTCGAAAACTTCGAAGGCACAAAAATCATTCAACATTTTAACTTTGTTAAGTGTTACTTACTTCAGCACAGGCGCTGACACCTTTCTGGCCAATCAGAAATAACAGAACTTCCCCTTCGAGCCAGTTAAAAGTAGCACGAACAAAACTTCCGCGGCTGGTACCTCGGTTTTCTACTCCTTCACCACCGCCAGCTCCATAGGCGAATACCCTGCTCAGAGAATTATATAGTAGAGAAAGAAGTGTAACAATTAAACAATATTTCAAGTAATAGCCACGTAGTAATTTTTATAAGAACGAAGTGAGATAAAGTAATAGGTTATAGGGAAAAAGCCTAGAAGGGGAAAAAAGAGAGAGGGTAGACACAGGATAAGAGGATCAATTCTTACGTTAATCGTTATCTATTGTACTCAAAGATTGACCCAGATCTTTAGGGCGAACTTAGGTGTACCCTGTTGTCTCGTACAGCCTAATATCTAGTTTTGGTGTCGATCTTTAGATTTAGTATGCTATGCTGACAAGTATAGTTTAAGCTTTAATCGAGAGTTACAGAACTAATTATAGTTTATTAATTAGAACAAATGAGTATTTGTCACGGACCACTGCGCGATTCCTGGTCCCGGACAAAACTGGGGAGGGGGGGGGGGTGATATTTAAATGTAACTTGCCAACTAATATAGTTTAAGCTGTAACACAGAATAGTAATGGTAACTCGAGTGTGGTTTTATTGTTGTCTAGTTATATATATAGTTTCAGTGAAGTAGGAAAAAATTTAACGTTGGGAAGAGGCGGAGTTAACAGCTGTCAGGTGTATAACACACCTGTTTTCACAACGCACACGTGTAAACTGACGCCCGGCGAACGGCATAGCCTCCCATAGATCATAGAAGTTTCTATATAACTCCAGAGGCATCGTGCGATCGACCTTTGTCTCTCTCCCTCATTACCAGCGAAGAATGTTACATCTGCAGTTCTAATAACGGAGCTTTGACTTCATATTCATAGATGTTGAAATATCATCATTATCATCAGTGTTACTGCCATTTAAACTTTTGGTTTTATGGTTGGGTACAGAATAATTTACATCATAAATATTATGGAATATAAGTATGTAATTTGGTATTTGCTGTTTATCCAACTTGCACAACACAGTCGAATTTTAGTAATTAAAGTGTAAGTAAAAGTCTAAAATTCTAATAAAAGGTACTTGTGAAGGTGCGTTCAAACTAAAATAAGAAACTAAAGTAACTTACGTGTATTTTCCTGTCTTTGGCACGGTCCACATTTGGACTCCTTTGAAGGGATCTTCCATAATCACGGATACCCTGGTGCTGGTACCAGAATAGGTATCTTTACACTGGTCATTAATCGGACCATAACGCCCTCTGGCTCCACATGTGGTCAAAGTATACCCTATATTTCCCATAATATCAAAGAAACACATACTGGTGAAGTTACTGTTTAAAACAAATCTATATAATAAATCATTACGACTTAGATTATGCCAACGTTTGTCTGACATGTATATATATATATATGTATACAGTTTTTCAAAGAAACTGTATTACATCAAAAGCGTAGAGGCGATCATTCAGCACTGTATAGCCCTGACGAAATTATTATAGAACCTACAATTTATTTATTGTACATGTAGCTGTACGCGCCAACAAAGCTCTAATATAACAATGTAAAATTATACCATTTGTACAAAAGTACAACAGGTATAATCTTAAAGTGAAAATGTCTGCGGTTATAGCTCCCACAAATATTGGGGATATTCCGTCTATCAGACATAATCAAAACACCAGATGCAGAGCTAGCCAGCATGTAACCGAAAAAAAATTGATGGGGATCTGGGTGCTAGAACCCACAACGTCCCAGATCCCACTATCACTCACCGTCTATAGCCGGTTGTGGGTATGACAGTTATCCCTAAAAACCCATAAAAATAGAAATTAGATATTAAACCACCCTTGATTACTATCACAGTTCATCCAACCTTCTCCTTAGTATATTTACTTTGATATTAAATTACGAAATACACAACCTTACTGTACATTTAAATTAACAATATTGACACTTTATCACTGCAAGATATTAATAACTATTCAATATAGTAATAGCAGTAATGCTTCAAATAATATTTCAATTAATGTTTTTATTATTAACTATAAACTATATATATAGTTCTGGTACCTCTTTCTCCTCCCTTTTTAAGGACATAACTTTCAAGTATAACTGGGTAAACTGAGCTAGGCCCAGTTGCCTGAAGTTGGTCTTTCCGACCCAGAAATATTGAAAGTATCATAAAGTTAACGCTAGCTCTGCATCTGTTGTTTTGATTATGTCTGATATATATAAACCAGCAAAAGCAGATTCATTTGTTTATTTAATGTGAGCCATAATGGGTTATTTTTGGAGTGAAAATTACATAATCAAGTTTCCTTTTTAACGGCGTATGCTCCAGTTCTGTGCTATTTTAAGAAAGACGGATAGAAGTCCCAGTTTAATACCAGGAACACTTCTCGAAATGCTAAACCAAGAGTTTGTGAATACATATTTCAAGTTCATTTTCATTTTCTATTTCTTATCGTTAAAGCTTTCCTCTTTCATTTTGCTATCAGAAATGATTATTCTAAGCCCAAATACTTGTGTTCTAGGCTAGGGTTATTGCTCTGACTCTACGAATGCTCTGTCGCTATGGTAACCAAGAGGGTATGAAATTCAATATAAAGCACAAATAAAGATATCAAGCACTTCTCGTAACATATTAAACTGAGACTGGGGGAGAAATGTGAAAGCAGAACTTTTACAAGAAAAACAAAATAAGCTCAATAAAGCTACACGGTAAGAATCTCGAGGCACGGTATTATTACGATCTAAGGACCTATTCTTCACGCAATTAATTCTAATAATTTCCAAGTATTGTGTCATAGTGTCTTGCATGAAATTCTAGAAAATGTAATATTATGTACTGATTCTCAGAAGTTGCTCCATATATCTTCTTTCCCCAATTTTCTTACCAGCGCTGTACCTCTGGGTAAATTCCTTAAACATACCATACAGAACACTAATAGAAGATCTTCTTGAAAAGGAAGATTCTTGGTTCGAGAATAAATAGCGAACTAACAACAAACAGCATCCGAATTTTTCGTCAATTACAGACATAAATCATTTACAATTACGTAAGTGTTTTTGTTATAGTCTGGACAAATTAGATCAAATAATCTATGTAATTTACATGCTAAATTATTGTAGACTATGTTGTTGTTTTTGACGACTTAAAGAATATTATTATCATGATTTATTCACTTGTTAGAGATAGAATTACATTTGAACATCATTCTCACCTTTTGATACATTGGATAAAATTGGAGGTGGGTACACTGACGGTTGCCAAGCTACTTCGTTAGCTAAACGAAATAAATTAATGTTAAATCATGTACACCCAAAACTTAATAAAATAAAGTATTGTTATTACGTTTTTCTATATTTATATAAAACCATCAAAGCTTGTTGGAATATATATATATTTATTTTGTTTTATTCTCGGTTAACTATAACATACAAAATCTCAACTGAATGATAAGATAAATGTTCCAGAAAGACTAAAATGACTTTAAACCTGAAAATCTTCTTTTCTTTGGATACTACAAATAAAAATATCTCTTAAAATTAGATGTACTTCCGCACGGTCTCTGAAAGTGTTCTGTTTCAAAAGTAAATAAAACCAAAATTAAGAGTAACAAATATTTTTATTTCTTGCTTTTCAAGTTCATATGTCATGCGTGTTCTAGCCTACAGAGTGCAAAATTCTTCTCGTGATTCATGGCATGCGCACGATTTACTGACGTCACTGCAGTGTAAATTGCAACGTTAAGCATTCTTTATGTGATGTCATTTTAGTGTCTACTGACTGACAGACAACATACTACTGTATATTGATGGGAGTGGTTAAAACAGGTGACGCCTCCAGGCAGCCTTCGGCCCCTTTTCGGGGAAAAGTGAGCACAGTGAATTATCAAATACGTGACAAGTAGACTACAGAATATACGTTAACGTGCAACCGCATGACATATAAAAGATGTAAAAGGCACAAATATGTTATAGTTAACAACAAAAAGCGTTAATAATGGCTGATATAAAGCATATTTATAGATTTTGTTCAGTTGTTAATGTGTTGGTTTTTAAAGTTGAAGAAACATGCTTGTTAATTTGCCCTATTTTTTTAATCTGCTAAGAAGTAAGGCCAAGAAAAAATATACAACCAGCACTACCTAAACATTATAAATGTGAATGTTTAAAACAATTATTAGAGTCAAGTAAATATTTACAACAACAGTTATCACCAGGAAAGAGAATGAAACAATGTCTTGAAAATAACTCACCTTTTGTCGTTGCCTGATATTGCAAATTTATCTCCGGTGGAACGCCTGAGAACGAAACGAAAAATGCTTTATGACAATAAATAAACAAAACAATCGATTTGCAAACTTTATTTCTTTATAAGTGACGTAAAGACCACTTTCTGTAAACAATGGCAAGTACATCTGTGATTATTTGGATTGTGTTTCAGTTTTAGTTCAGCACGAGTGTCTGTAAAACAAGTAAATGGTCAATGTTAGGAGTAATAAATTATACAATTTAAATAGTTGCACATCACATCGCCGGGGGCAAAGATTCTAATAACATGAAGATATTAATCTGATGTGTACAAAAACTAAAAACCACGAGTTAATATATGAAAGAAGAGCTTTGGACAATCCTGAATTAGAACATTCAGAGATTATATAGTTAAGTTAGAAATTTCGTATATGTAATCCTGAATTAGAACAATTAGAGATAATAAAGTTAAGTTAGATATTTCGTATGTGTAATCCTGAATAGAACAATTAGAGATAATAAAGTTAGGTCAGAGTATTTCGTTTGTGTAATCCTGAATTAGAACAATTAGAGATAATAAAGTTTCTTTATGTTTGAAATCCTTTTTATTATAGATCTGACAGGGTGTTTATGTTATGGTTCTACGAGTACAAGCCGTCAATAACTCCAATCTGATCACTTATGTTTCAAATCCTTTTTATTATAGATCTGACAGGGTGTTTATGTTATGGTT